GCACACTTTGTCATTTGTTGGTATTTTAAAAACCATTTTTCCCCGATTTCAGTTGATTAATTATTATTTTATGCCATTCAATATTTGATTTTCAAAAGTGACTCCCACAAAGATGAAAAAAGCGAAATTTGTTTTACTGAAAAAAAAATGAAATGTAAAAACAAACGACACAAAAATAAACATAGCAAAAACAATCTATCGAAACAAAAACTATTGCACTTCAAACAGTTTTATGAGTCTGGGATTCGGCAAAAAGGGGACCCCACTAAAGAAATCAATAAAATCCGAAACTCGTTAAAAAAAAAAACTTAAAGCCATCAATTTTAAACTACTGCTTGCAATAAAAGCAACATTAGCTCTTGTAGAGTTCAAGTTCATCCCTTGAAAACTTTGTGCCCATAAACTTGTCGAGAGCCAATGTGAGAGCGAGAGTTTGATTTATTTTTGGCTCGGTCTCGTTTGGCTGTTTGTTCCTTTTTTATGGCGTACTTTTCATGCTATTGGCAAATGCATTCGCCCACTCTCTCACTCTCTCCGAGTCGCCAACTCCGGCTGTTCCACTGGAATGGAAATTTTCCATTCTCTAATGGTATATATCAAACCATATTAGTATGTAAATAAATTATTTCGTTAGTCAAAATTCACCAATGTTGTTTTTTCTTTCTCTTTTTCTCCCTCTCCCTTTCTCACTCGCACTTTCTGTGCTCCGATGCTCGTTCCGTGCAAATGGAGCGTTCTTTTTGTGTTTTTTGTTCAGAAGCTGTGAACCACCAGACGGCAACCACTCAATATTTGCCACAGAAAAAACACCGAATTTCGTATGCGAACCAGCATTCCGTTCAAATCATTCAAGCAAATGTAAACAAATCGAAAATGAATACGTAACAACATTGATTGATTTTAAATAAACATAACGTTATCTGTCGCAACGACTGCCAATGATGATGTACCTAGTTTACCCTCCTTCTCCCCCCCCCCCCCTCTCTCTCTCTCTCTCTCTCTCTCTCTCTCTCTCTTCCGCGTCTTTGATTTCTAATTTTCTGACTGAGTCTCTGACAGAAAAAGATGCTGAATTACACATTCGCTATGCACGAAACGGGCCCTACAGTTCCTTTTGACATTTCGAATTTTTGCCGGTTTCGATTGCATTTTGGCGAGGGAGAGCGGGAGTGAGAATGAGATAAATGTAACTCGATTTGTCATAACATTCGACGGAAAAGCACTTCACAACAGCCAGTGAATCCATAAATGAAAATGACAACAAGATGAAAAATGTCAATGCGAACAGGCACACACATATCAGAGCGTAGAGCATATTGATTTTTATGGCACCCATAACCACATACAGTTTGGCATGCACGATTTGAACCACCATCAACACTCAAATCATGGCGAGGAATATATTCGAAAATGATGAGTGTCGTCATTTAGTTGATGAGCGTCTTGAAAGTGCCGGTTTTACTGTGCGAATAGAAAAATCATCAATAATAAAATGACATATAATTTACATGAATAAACATTTTTCACCGGATGAACAGCACTCCTTTGGATGCCACTAGCGGGAAAATAACCATCTATTGGATCAATTGAAATGACGTAGCGAAATGGGAAAATGATGCGAGAGAGAGAGAAAGCAAAGAAGGAAGCGAAAGAGAAGGAAGAAAAGCAAGAGAGACACAGCGATGAAATAAATGAACGAACTCCCCGAAAATAAACCGCATCGGAATACGAAATACCACGGCTGAAGAGTTATCAGAATATAAATAAACTAATTTAGATTTTCCGTCGTAGATTATTCGCAATGAAATATGGGCGAGAAAGTGAGATGTCTATTCGGAAAAAGATGGCATAACATACATATCCTCGATGTAAATGAGCTGACTGAGTGTGTGAGGAAAATTTCGTATGTTCGATATTATTCGAAGTGTTTTCGTGCATATAATATCGCATGATAAATTTAGTGAGCTGTATTTCCCTCATGATGAATGTGAAATGTTTGGGAAAATTTGCAAGCTCGGTAAAAGGGGACGAGAACATTGCACATCGCACTCCGAAAGCGGAAGCAGTTGTGAATCCGTTCAAGTTTATACACGAGGTAATTGCTGTTGGTGGGTGAGAACGCGCTCGTGTTTGTGTGGGTGTGAGAAAAATTGTGTTAAGTTCCATGGGAGCAATTCCATGTTGATTAGTTGATTTATATGTGAGACTAATTTCGGTGCCGCTGTGTGCATGCGGATCATATGCAACTGGAAAATTCACGGGCGCTAATTATGCTTAAATTTAGCTTTAATCATCGAAACATTACCGTATGCAAATTTATTTATAAAACATGACTCATTTGATTTGTTTGTTCCAGCAACGATTTCGATCACACAACGAATTGAACGTTACAAAGAATACACAACAAATTGAACGTGATGACTGATTCAACGGAGAAAGGAAACTTATATGGGCAGATAAAAGTTGTCGAACGACCAAAAATGCCATCAGAGGAATTTATCAAGGTAAGTGGTATACATTAAGTAACATATTCCGTATGTTTTTTCGCTACAAATTTTCTTCAACGGTCGACACATTTTTTACGAACATAAACCGAATTCATCACGTTTTCGACCGTTCGTTTCTTCCTGATTTTGGGTATCAAAAGGATCCGTCTCTTTTATGTCAGACGGAATATTTGAAATCTGAATATTTTATTCGAAACATTGAGGACCATTTACTTAGACCACGTGCACAATGATAGCCGAACAAAAAAAAACGAATCGACCGAATTCAACCCAACGTAATTGAAGTGCATAAATTTACTCCTCTATTCGGTTGATGTTCGCTTTACTCCTCTGTATATTTTCATCGTAAATGGCGACCGAGTCGCTGTGATGAGTAATATCTGACGGGCAGATTTTACCCAACAAACTTCTATGGGGCGGTTTCTCATTTGGTTCCGATCTATTCTACCGCTTGCATCACACTTCGGACTTAAGTAACAAAGGTATTACAACAAACGGTGTGACTAAGCCAGAAAATTGAGGGGCGATGTTTACGAGAATCGTAATTATTTGTCAGTGGTTAATTTATGTACGATTCAATGTTACGGTCACACGAATACAACCAAACACCAACCTGAAGAAGCCAATCGACCTGACACAAAAACCACAAAGCGGGTGAGGGGCGAGACAGACATTGTCTTTAATTTATACGGCTTATCATGTTTCTCTCTTTCGACTTTTTGCACATATATTTTCGTTAAAGTTGAAAAGTTTTTTCTTTGTTTTCTGACATGGAATTAAAAAGTTAATTAAAACAGAGACTTTTTTTGTTGTTTCACAATGCGTTCTGAAGTACAGTGTATTTCTTATGCACATCGGATCGTCGTGGCGCAAATAATGGGATTTCCTTGCGTATTTTTTGCGCCATTTCCAAATCTGAATTACGCAAATGAAGAAAAAACAAACGAATGAGAAAAAGTTGAGTTAATTCTCGATATATCATCAATTGTGTCTTCTGATGAAGAAAGTTTGTGAATCGCATCTTATTCGTGGAAAATGATTTCTTCTTTGATTCCTGCCTGCACCAGAACATTTCCGATTGGATCAATAATCATAGAATGGCCATAGACCACATAACTTGGCTTGGTCATTTCGTGCTGGCGATATAGCAGCCACAAACAGTTGATTATCAATGGCTCGAGCACGATGCAGTAATTCCCAATACTGTGGTCCAATGCTAATATGGAAAGCAGCAGGAAAGAACACCAAGTCGCATCCTATGAAATAAATCAGTTCGGTAATTGCTTTCACACATATATGTGATATTGCACATGTGCCGTGAATAGTTTGCTTCACAGCATCAATTGTTTGAGGGTTTGCCTAATTAGCACAACTCACCAGCTTTCCCGTAGATTTTAACGAATTCATCAAAACTGGCATCATAACAAATTGCAACACCACATTTGAACCCATTCACTTGAAATGTGGTTATATCACTGCCAGCGGTCAACTTATCCACTTCAACGATGTCAATCTCATCCAAATGAATATCACACAAATGAACCTATGTACAACTTAAGCATATATACATATTATTAAGTCACTAGGTTTTGATTGAACGTTTCGACATCCAGCCCTATTCAACTTGCCTTTCGGTGACGTGCAATCATTTCACCGTTTGGGTTCCAAACAGTCGATGTATTGTACAGATTGACATCATCTCGTTCAATAATCGATCCACCCATAATGTACACGCCAAACTTTTTTGACAGTTTGGATAAGGTGCGACACGTTTTACCGTCGTTCATTGTTTCGGCCACAACTTTTAGAATAGATGAGTCTGTGTAGTACGCAAAAGTGAAGCATTCGGATAATGCAATTATTTGCAGCTGATTTTCATTGACGGCTCTTTCAACTAACTCCTCCAAGTGGATCAATGGCAAATGTATGGCAAATCAAAACTCACTCGTTCCGCGTAATTTCATTTTTTTGGTACTTTCAAACATAAAATCTAGTTATAACTGTTTTGCAAATTCGGGCAAAGTACGATTTAATCAATTCAATTTCGAGAGTATTTGAAGATAAAATTGAAATTGCTCCTGACACATTTTTTTATTGCCGGGCAATTGTACTTATCAAGTACTCTTTATCTGCATTGTTATCGCTCAGGACGTATAATTGAAACCCTTGAGTAAATAAACAGAACTATATTTTATTTAAAAAAAAACCACACAAAAACGACGTAGACTTTTAATTATAAAAAGTCTTCGATGAAATCTCTTGGGATGAATCTTAAAAATACAAGATCGTCAACTGATTAACCACAGCCTCATGGGTGAATTTATTTTTTTTAATTTTCTTCATTTATCGCTTTATTGTTTGTACAGGTGTTTTTATTTGTTGGGAATTTACAATTTGAAATCAAATTTTGGACAATTTTAGTCGAATTCAAACATTTTTTTTGTCAAACTTTGGTGCAAATAATTTTGAACCGTACCTTTCGTTCCCTTTTGAATGCAACTTTCCAAATAAACCAAACCCACTGATAAAATATTCATCTTAGGCCAAGAAATAATGCTGGGAAAAATAAACAATTGGAAATGAGAAGATTCTTACATTAGAACAATTTTAAATTGGATTCAAATTCCAAAATTGAACTATAAGTAAGAAAATGTTATTGAAAATCATAGCCATCTACTGTGAGCATACTTTTGGATCGTGCGTTTTCCAGCATTTATGAATGGAAAAGGCTCGTTCGTACCTATCAACACGTTGTGGATTTGTACAGATCAGAAAAGTTACTTGGACGATTTGTCGAATTTCCTCGTCAAGTAATCGGACATGTGTATTAATTCTCTCAAAATGTGGATCGCCATTATCATCGACCACACGGCTAGATTGGTTAAGATCATGTTTAAATTACACACATTTAATTTCGAAGGAGAAAAAACCTTCACAATCACTTACAATTCATGGAACAAACATGACATATAACATTTGAGTGCTGCATCTTCGTGAACTTCACCATCACTGAACTCCTTAATGGCCGCTAACATGATGAAATTTCATGTTATTTATTCCGAAAAATGCATTTAAAGTACCTTATTAAACCGTTTCCTCTAATTCTAACCATCGGTAACTACAGTTTCGGCTTTACATTTTTCGCTAATTGGTTTCAATACCTCTAAAAAGTCCGGCGGTGGCCACTGAAATGCGAATAAAATAACAATTAACCGAAATAATGTTCGCAATTATATTCTTCGTTTTTTTTCGCCTTTGGAATTTAATTTTGTACAGGAATTAGACCAACGGCATGCCGTTGAACAACAACTGAACTTTGTTCGAGCACAAGAAGGTTTTTAGGGGCAATAAAATGATAAATGCAATTGTTTTGAATTGTTAGTTGAATCACTATTTATTTTTCTACTTAATAACTATGAGAATGTGTTTCTTTTGGCTTTTATATTGCTTGCGCTCGACATCGGCAAAGGTCTTGTTGGCTTGATGGTCGTAGCAGGTCTGGTTTCTGTCATTGCTACGCAGTGACTTGTGTGCTGGTATACATGTGTCGTTCGTTTGGTTGTGTTTGTGTATATGGGTTCGTGTGTATGGGCTTGATTGCGTATGGAGTTCTGAACAAACTTGTTTCAATTTTTTCAATGTTCGTTACATGGAAAGTGTTTTTCGTTGGAAGTTTTCACTTCAAATGTTAACAATTAAAAACAATATTTACAGTGTCGTCACGTCGTAATTCAGCATTAAGCTGGTCAAAACTAAACAAAACAATGAACAAAGAAATTACGAAAACTAGCATTCTGAAGATTTTCTCTCAATTTTACTCGGCAGTTGTCACCGACTGATATTCGAACCTCTTTATTCCCCCTTTATATACACACATTTCGATAGAATGGTTTTAGCATTTTTTTAAATAGCATTTTGTTTCTAACCAAATTTATCAGTTCTAATAACAAGTCTGGTCCATTTATCAGTTCTATTTCAAGCGAAACTCAATCGAATTTGCAACAATGTAACTGATTATATGAAATTTCATATAAATTTAAATGAGTTCATATTAGTACTTCCGTGCCAACTAAATATATCGATTGAAAGAGAATTAAAGTGTTATTTCGAATAATTCCACCACCTAGCAGCTGGCAGCTACTAAACGGCATGGCTCAATACATGTTGAAGCTCTGGATTGAATGGATAACTATTGGTTTTTGGATTGACTTCTATTCAGGAAATTTATCGTTTGTCTAACGCAAAAGTTGTTTCAATAAAAATCTACACAAAAACGATATTGACTCTTGATAAACTATCTATTCAATCTTCTGTGATAAGATGCACTTGGAGATGTGTAATCATGGGCAGATCAATTTTCACTATATCAAGCAAAATATAAGACTGCGGCATGTATCTAAATCACAATACGATAGGTAAACTAATAAAATTATTTTTTATTTGATCTTATCTCATTGTTTTAGTTTAAGTGATTGTAATATAATAAAGCATTTTTGGTTTTGCAATGGAATATATTTGATTTGAAAAAAACTGCAGCATTTTGAATAATTTGAATTGAAATGATGCTCATGGCGAAGCATAGGATGAAAGTAATATTTCAAATCATAGAATAAAACAAAAGTAATAAGAAATGTCAGTTTCAATTAAATTATTTGTTATAAACTTCTGGTCTTCTTGATGTGTACAGCGGCAATTCCTTACGAAACTTTCGGCTAACTTTTGGGTCTGCAAAGTGAAAGAACGAAAATTACTTTCTGAAATGGAGTGAAATGAACTTGATTGTTGAATCGAACCAATTTCGTGGAAAACAATTTCTTCTCCAGTTTCGGCTTTTGCGAGAACGTTTCCGATTGGATCGATAATCATAGAATGGCCATAGACCACATAATTGGCTTGTTCATTTCGTGCTGGCGAAACAGCAGCCACAAATAGTTGATTATCAATGGCTCGAGCACGATGCAATAATTCCCAATACTGTGGTCCAATGCTAATGGGAAATGCAGCTAGGAAGAATATCAAATCGCAACCTATGGAATAATTAACAGTTCAATTGATCAAAAGGAGAGTAAAACTTCCTTTGTACTTGATATTGTTAAATCAACATCGTATTGTAGCACTAATTCAATTAACCCACCAGATCTTCTGTACGCTTTAGCGAGTTCCTCAAAATGAACATCATAACAAATCTCAATGCCACATTTAAATCCATTCACTTGAAATGTGGCTAAATCATCACCGGGCGTAAAAATACCCACTTCAACAATGTCAACTCCTTCCTCTGAATGATAATTACACAAATGCACCTAAATCAACAAACATTTCATATCGTATCATCGCTTTTGATTAAAATGTGTCGACAATTTTTCACTTGCCTTTCGGTAGCGTGCAATTAATTCACCGTTTGGATTCCAAACTGTGGATGTATTATACAAATTGTCACCATCGCGTTCAACAATTGTTCCGCCCACAATGTACACGCCAAACTTTTTCGATAGCTTGGATAGAGTGCGACAAGTTTTGCCTTCCTCTATTGTTTCAGCCATAGCAGTAATGATTGAGGCATCTGTGCAATACTCGAAATTGAAGCACTCAGGCAGTGCTATTATTTGTGGATTATATTCGTTTGCAGATCTTTCAACCAACTCTTCCAAATGGATCAACGTTTTGGCCAGACCGGCTTGTGGCGCAAACTGAAGCAAACACAATCGCAAACCTACAGAAAATACAACGTTGAAACCAATAGAACACCTTCAAAAAGATTTTAATATTGAAAGCAAAACTGACTTGTTTCACTCGAGGTCATTGTTCTAAACATTGTTACGCAAGTCTTTGGGCTCAAACTCCAGTTACAACTGAATTGAATGAAACTTCTAATCAAGTTATTTAGCAATATAACCAATTTAATTATATGTTCAATCGCAATCAAATAATATTGATTAAATCGACTGATGATTTTTTTTCACAATCGAATGACTGTACTCATCGCAATTACGACGTAATTGATTTCTGTCTTCTTATTCGATAGTACAAATGTGAATGTAAAAATACCGGTTTCGTCTTATACGTCAAAATGTATCGTATGCTTTAGTGTTGCCATAAAATAAACGTCAAACTGTATATTTCATTTAAATGTTTGCAAACAAAAATTGTTCTTATTTTGTTTATCAGCGGTTTTTATGATTTGTCACCGTCTATGACGGCCGACATATGTAAACAAAACAGGGTGATTTCTAAGAAGAAGATGACTTTCATTTTAATATTACTTACTTCTCGGTTTTCTCTTTGTTAATTTTGTTTAACAAAGAAATAAATCTTGTAAAAACATTTGATCGCTGTTCTTTTCTAGTGTTACATATTATTGCATCATTCAAAAGGCAAAAAGATTTGATTTGAGCTGCCACAGCATTTTTTTGATTCATGGATGAAAGACTTTTTAATATTTGCAAATTGTTCATATTAAGTTTTGCTTATTTATTTCAAATATGTCATTTCGTTTGATAATTTTGGACAATTTTATTCAATGTTGGTGCAAATAAATGTAAAGAGCTTTGCTGCATAACCTTATACACTGTGATCCCATTTAGATTCAAGAAACGAAGCGAATCCGGTTGGAAAATGTTCATTTTAAGCCAAGAAGTAATGCTGTGAGAAATAAATAATTGAAATGTATGAGATTTGAATATTAAAAATTCTCTTTGCGTTCAATTTTTTTTTTAGTAATTTCAAGTTTAAAACGCAATGAAAATATTCAAATTTGGTCAACATACTTTTGGATCAGCATTTTTCCAGCATTTGTGAATGGAAAAGGCTCGTTCACACTTATCAGCACCTTGTGGATTTGTGCATTGTTTGAGAACAGGCTCGGCAATTTGTCGAATTTCGTCATCCATTAATTTGACGTGTGTATTAATTCTCTCGAAATGTGGATCGCCATTGTCATCGACGACACGGCTAAATTGGTTAATATCATGTTGAAATTGCAAATTTTAGTTTGAAAGAAAGAGAATAATAACAATCACTTACAATTCATGGAACAAACACGACATAAAGCATTTAAGAGCTGGATCTTCATGAACTTCGCCATCGCTGAACTCCTTAATGGCCGCTGAAATGATGAAATTTCATATTATTTATTCTGGAGACTTCATTGGAAATTCGGTATAAAGTTATTTCTTCTTATTCTCACCATCGCTAGCTCCAGTATCGGCTTTACATTTGTCACTAACGGGCTTCAATATCTCCAAAAATTCCGGCGGTGGCCACTGAAATGTGAATGAAATAACAATTAGCAGATATTGTTCACAATTATACCCATCGGTTCCATTTTTATTTTCTTTGAAATTTAATTATGTTGCGAAATGTTGACGTTTAACAAGAATTGCTTCTTGTAACTTTAATTAAAACTGTTCAAAAATGGACAACATATGGAAAACGTTTTTCGTTAAAACTTTTCAACTAAAATGGCATCAATCAAGGACAATATTTACAGAATCGTCACGTCGTGTTCCAGCATTGGACTGTCCGAAGCTCAAAAAAACTACAAACAACGTTATTGCAAGCACTTGCATTTTGAAGATTTTCTCTCGGTTTCACTCTTGTCATCGACTGATGTTCCAACCGCTTTATCTCCACTTTATATACACAAATTTCGATGGAATGATGTTGGCATTTTCCAAAATAGCATTTTGTTTCGAACCAAATTCATCAGTTTTAATTACAAGTCTGGCCCAGGCATTAGCACTGATTATCACTGAATCTTGACGAAAGTTCTATTTGAAGCGAAACACATGATGGGCCACAATGTAACTATTGAAATTGGAACAATGTAACCGATGATATAAGCTCTATTGAAATGAGTTCAAAGCAGCACTTAATGCTAGCAAAATACCTATTTGACGTGAATAAAAGCATTCATCCGAATAATTCTACCAGTTGCTAAATGATGGCTATTTTCTGTGTTTAATTACCGTCTCCGGTGCTGTGTTGAATGTCTTGTTCAAGCTGCATTTGAACATTTTTGCTATTCACAAGTTACGTAACATTATGAACGATCCAAAAATTGTACGTGACAAATAGACAGATAGTGGTGATGATGTTTATTTTCCCTTGGTTTTAGTGTGTCTATAATTCGTGCGCTTTTTATACTATTCTTATTTCGGTACCCATTGTTTAAGTTGGCATTAAGCTGTTCTTGAATAAGAATTGAATGATGGCCATTTGTTGTTCGCTTTTGCACTCAAAAAAGGCGATGGAAAAGTATCAAGTAAAAATGCGATTGAAAAAAGCGAGAACGCACTTGAATCAGCTTTCGAAGAATGAAATAAAAAAAACCCTTTGAAACTATCGATGCCGCTGTTTTTCGTCATGACATAATAATCTTGAACTGTAGAAGACAACGCAAAAATCGTAAGCGAAAGTGATATTGAACGCCTCCTCTGTTACACACGCTGTTTGATGTGGAATATAAAATGTACAACAGCCACCATGCAATACAGTTGCTTCGTGTTGTTTTTCTTGTCTGTAAAATCCCACTGGTGCTGATCCTTGTCGATTTTCTTTTTGCATGACGGAGCTTTGCTTAATTCATGGAATGTTCTTGTGTGTTTCGCACTCGTCTGCATCGGGGTGTAAATTGGATTTTCCTCCTACGTTTCTGTCGTTCTTTGGCTTGTAAATTGATCATGTCACTTGGCCATTCAATTGATTGTATCAATACGACGAAGAAAAACGACCGCAAACTGACCGATAACGTGCTAAAACCATGACAACACATACAGAAAAACCACTGCTAATGACATAATGCTTGAGTTTTTCTGGGTGTGATGTGTTTCCTTGTTATTTTTTTTTCTTCTTTGGAAGATAATAATGAATCACAGCTCGTTTGCACTTGGATGCTCTGAGTTTGCTAAATTCACAGCGAATCTATTCGCAAGAGTTGTCTATGGACAATGTGAAAAGACGGTTTAATGGATTCCAACGATTTCTCTTGCGCTTGTTTTGTACTAATCACCAAAGTTGGTTTACTCCTCATTAAGATGCTGTGAACACAATTCACACTCGGTTTTTTTGTCTTCGTCTTTGTTCGTCTGCGTTGTATTCAATGACTTTCAAAGATTTTATGTACGAACACATTCCATTCTTTCCACTTCGTTAGCATTTGATTTGGTTAGCTCTATTCTTTGGAAATCTAGTTCACCTCTCCCACGAAACACATTAAAAAGTAGAGATATGCACAAAAAATTAGCATGAATATGAGTGAAAATAGTAAGGAAATGAATATCGAAAGGAAAAAAAAGTGAAAATGTCCAATGTGCTTAGCAAAGTGTGCTAGCTATACGATTAAGACTTAATCTATCCTTAACTCAATGTGAATAATTTTTATTCAGATGAAATTCGAGAGAAAACTTTCGTATCCAATTCCATGTGCTGTGTGTATCTTCGAAAATGTTATTCTAGGGGAATACATTGATCCCTTTGGAGAATTTTTTTTTCGTTCATCCGTTTGTGAAAAGGAACGAACAATCGAAAACAACACGTGATAAAGGAAGAGCTAATACATTTTGAGAGTGATTTGAATTGTAAATTGTACATATTTATATGTGTTTGGTTCCGTCTTTATCGATCTTTTACTTTTCCTAATATGTGCACACTATTCCAAAGCAGGAAACTGGTGTTTTTCACTCTGTGTTTATATCGATTCTGCGACTCGAATTAAAGCAATAGAAAATACACTCATTCATTATTCATTGGAGCCGACAGACGGGCGCAGCGCATACAAAAGTAACATACAAAGAAAGCAAATGGAAGTGAACTGGAAGCATAAACAAAAACCAAAATAACGCAAATTGAATTTTAAGAATATCTCAATACAATATTGTTGCTGCAAAATCCAGCGTCTCCCTTTTGTATCAAACGCACGCACGCACTCATACGACACTTTGTTTACTCTTCATTCGGTGTGCTGTTGTGCGACAGTTATCATTGTTCCATGGAGTGATTTACGGTTGCTCACTCTCTCTCTCTGTCTTTTTGTGTGTGTGTCTCGAAATGTACATATAATATTGTATTCAGCAATGAATTATAGAAACGGAGTTCACGCTTTTCGTGCGTAAAATTTCTGCGCTTCGCGAAAGGAATCCTACTTAAAGAAGTGCATTTGTGATGGAATGATACGGTTGACTCTTTTTGTCAGTTGGGTTCGGTGGTGTTGGAGGCGACATGAAGGGGGAGATTAGAGTATTCTAATAAAATATTAGATTTTTTTCCAGTGTATCATTGGCACAATCTCCATACTTACAACCATTTTCACACCGAGCATCTCGCTTAAAAAACACTACCAACGCCCATTTCTCTTCATTTACCTCCATCCAAAGAGAAAATCATTTGCGAGCAGGAATTGCTCAGTTTCAAGCCTTGAAATAAATTCATCATGCAAACTCCATTCATGCCGTTCTCATCTCGATAAGGCCAACAATAATACCAATCCGCTTCGTACAATGTAATAAATTTACACAAAATGAAACATTCCAACAACAAAAAAAGCCATGTAGCAATGTAAATAAAGCCTCGATGTTGTATGTTTGCCAGGCAACACGAATGCCATCCCATGGAGAGAGAGAGAGAGCGAGAGATGTCAGTAAATATTTATGTTTGAGTTTTAAAACAAATAAATCGGTTGAAAATTTATTAATCAAAATTGTGTTGCGGTGTCTCGTATCACTTTTTGCTCATCTCTTTCATCGTCGCAATTTTCCATTTCGTGTAAACGTAGACGGAGTGAGGGAGAGTGAAAGTGAGAGAGGGAGAGAGTCAATTAAAATGGCATAAAATTTTACAATGTATGCAGATGTTTGAATAATTGTGACTAATAAGCATTTCGTCGTGTTGTTATTAATGGAGTTTGTGCACATTATCCGAAATCTAAATTGAACCGTTGTACAAATATTCGGGTCATCGGCACAAAGGGGAAGGCGTATGCGAGAGCAAAAGAGCGGCACATATCGTCACACATTCCCTTGAAATTGACTTTAATTTAATTTCCTCACAATAAATTTGGCGAAGGTAATGATTATGGGCGAATAATTCTCTCTCTTTCTCTCTCTCTCCCTCGTATCGCTATTACTTAAATGCAATATTAACAGCATTACATGATTATATGTGTGTTATTCTAACCATTTTGGATACGTGTTAGTGTGCGCGTGTGTGCCACCCATCAAGAATCATATATACCCATTGTCACTGTGCGCTCGATAACACCAATTCATCCGCTTACATCTGGAATTCATGTTAATATGTAATTCCTTCGATATTATATGCAACGCCAATTTCCCACTGCTGTCAACGGATATGAGAGTCAAATTCGTCGGTTGTGATGAATACATTTGCAAGCAAAAGCTGTAGACGATGTCAAAATGTCGTCAGGAAACAAGCACCGGATTACCCGCAATGCACTGTGTTCTACGAATTGGAATGCACAAAATTGTTTCGCTGCGTGTATTTTATCGGTTTTTTTCTCTATTCGCGTTAGCTATGCCAAGAAATTTGTAATTCCTTCGAAGAGTGATGTATACTTGAAATTGGAAGCGCATATTAAACCGCACTAGCAGCGACAGCAGCAGTTACGGCGTCGGCAGCACCCCAACTAGTCATATGTGTGTCAAACAAGGCAAGCCCTAGTGTCAAAGCAGGAACATTTCAATACATTAAATGCTCTCTGTAATTGCTTAATCGTAGATTCAATTGCCTCGGCATTTTCCGAGAATCATTTTTATGCCCTACTTTCCATCCACTTAAGTATTATGGCCAAACAACAAAATGGGTGCATACAATTGTTTTTGATATCCATGAATATGCTTCATAAATGTTGTTGTTCGCTTTTTTTTATTCGAAAAGGGAAGAAGCTCCGTTCGAATAATACAATGCATTTGAATCAAGCGATATAATTTTTTATGTGCCGATCTTTTTCCATGTGAAAAATGCTCTCGATGTGAATCGTAATATATCGGTGATATCAAATGTCTCTCATTAAATTGTTCCCATTTTCGGCCTTGGATGCCATGAATATAACAATCAACGAATGATGTGTGACGGAATCCATGAGAGATGAACATGATGATATCGATTCATCAACACCGCGAGATGTGCCAACCGAAAGACATTCGGTTAGACGCTTCGTTGGGCTCAATGAAAATCTACTTACTCATTTTACGACTTGTGTTATAGTGGATTTGGATAAATTGCGCTACCGCAACTCAATGTCACATTTCGACGAACGGATTTCACAATGCGACGATTCTTCGTCATAGACCGACGATAAAATGTAATTTTTCGGATAAATAAAATGGAGTGTATGTTTTGCACAAAAGTGAGCAAAAACCACTAAATTATTGATACTAGTCTGGCCCGTCTTGTGGATCTCCGTAGCGAAAGAGAATACGGGAATGGATATTGACATCCAATTACTTTTCACTAATAGCATCGTAAATAAATCATAATTAATTAAATTTGTTCGCATCCGAAACGGTCCGATTTGGCTTACAGTGTGTCGTACGGTGTGTGTGTCTTTCTTTTGACGCAGCAAAACTTTATTACGACAATAAAAAGAGAAGAAGCAAACCACAGGAAAAATAAGTTTGTAAGTCGTTTCATCTTCGGCTACAATATGTTT